ATGTTATTTTTTTAATCCTTCCTGCTGAACCCTGCCACATCCACTTGAGCAGCACCACAGACTTACTATTGAACTTGCAGTTGCAGATGAAATGGAATCTAAAAACCCTTTTTTAGAATAAAAGTCAAAACGTAGAGAAACAGTACGCCTGAAGAGAGGGAACAAGAAAGCCTCAATTCTGAAAGCACTTTTAGACTAAAAAAACAGAAAACAAATTTTTGGCTAGATCTTATTTTAAATAAGTTTTTCCAAGTCAGATTGAAGCCCTGAAGATACGCAACTGCACACTCTTAGGACTGCAAAGACTGAAGTCTAGCCAATAAATTCAGTTTTCTGCTCTAACATCCCTCCTTGTTTTTAAAAACATTAACTGCAGCAAGTGCAGCCACAGAAACCAGGTTCAGTTGAGACATCAGGACCCCTTCCTGACAGAAATGCTGAATCACAGTAGAGGGAGGAAATTAGGAAGTATAACTGATCTCAGCTTAAGTATGCTTCCTCTCTACAAGAGTGAGAAGCAGAAATCATTGGGTGTGGTAGAACTTTCACATGTTTTGTACAGGGTCAGAGGATTCAGGATGCTGTCTTCTCAGCAAGCCCTCTTATGAAATAATTTTGGTACAAAATACGGGACACCTTACTGATCATTGAGACTATGTTACAGTTGACAGGTACATGAACTTTCCTTGAATTCATGGTAATCCCAGTACTACTCACTTCTTCCCCCCGCAGTTCACCTTGACACAGCGCTCCCTACTCTTACATTATCGTACTTCCGGAGGATTAAACCTGCTCCCAAAAATGAGACCTCAGAATGGCAATTTTAAACCAAGCTCCATAATAAAATCCTCTGAAATGCAAGTAATTAGGGTATCCTGACATTAAATAAAACAAAAATAAAAGTACGTCAGACAACTGTATGACAAGCTTTTCTCACTTTGGCATGGTAAGTCTGTTCAAGCTCTTCTTTGTACAGCTTCACTTGTGCATCGTGCTGCTCTCTTATTTCACAAAGGGCTTGGGCCAGTTTATGTTCATATTCTATTTGACGCCCAGAATCAACCTCAACTAAGCGAGTTTCATGTTTCCTTCTTGTTTCATTGATTTCCTACGAAAAACAGAAAAATAAAATAACTTTCAGTAAATGAGACTAAACAAGTTTTAGAAGACTATCCGCTGAGCAGACAGCGATGCAGATTTTAGCTGGCCTTGTGGATCAGCATTAGATTAGTTTGTCCGACATTGAAACTTCCAGTAGAAACACAGGAGCATTTCCCCAGTCTGATACGCATAGGACCTTATTTTGCAATAGTCAGTCATTGCAATAAGAGCTAGGATACCGTCAGCATGTAAAGTCCCATTTCCTTCTGACAGTTGCCTGCGCTTTCAACAAATGCACATCAATATGATTGGATTTTAGAAGTACATCCCCCCTCTTCTTTAGGTTTCTTCCATGCTTGCACAAAACAAAATTTTATTTGTATGATTGCCCCCGGTCTCAGGAAAAACGGATTCCAACAACATGAACAAAGCTGAAAATACGACGAGCAAGCAAATGTGCACACAGAACAAAAGAGACTATGGCTACGTTTGTTACTGCTCTAAGGTTCCTCCTGGAAAGCCTCAAGTACTACAAGTGAAAGGGAGAGTGGCAAGAAAAGGCTCTAAAAGACAAATACTCATCAACTTCTGTTCCCATTATTCAAAAGCATCCTATTAGAAAGCTCTGAAATTAAAACCCAGTACAATTCCATAGCGTCTGTTTGAGCGTCCCTCTCCACCTTATTTCCCATAAAGGGATTATGCGAGAAATTAACCCACTTTCTCATTACTGTGAAAAGACATGTACATTGCAATACCATGGGCAGAATTTAACACGAAACAACATGATACATGAAGCTATTTTATCACAAGAGCTCTGCGTTAACATCATTTTGCTAGGAAAAAAGTTGGAAATCTTCCAGCTGGAATAGAGGTAAGTCCTGCTCTGAGTCAGAGTTCAGACCAGATGACTTCCTGAGGTCCCTCCCAACCTAAGCTATTTTAGTATTCTAGAATGACACCCTCCCCCCCCAAGTTGTCTTCTCCCCTTTAAAAATGTGAATTCTTGAGACTAAAGCATTTACCTCCTCATACATAGTTTTACGGAATTCCAAGTCCTCAATGAGACTCTGACAACGGTTTTCAAGATCCACCTTCAGTAAGGTTTCATTTGCAAGCTGTTCCTTGGCAGCAGCTAAAGAAATCTCAAGCTTTGAAAAGAAAAAAAAGAAATAAAAGAATCAAGACAACAATGATTATGTAGCAGAACTCACAGACCACAAGGACCTCAGCTACCTAGAAGTACAGCTAACTTCATGTTATGGTTGAACTTAACAATCAAATCCAATATTTACACCACTAATGTCTTTTTCCACCCCTTTTGCCATCGCTTGCACAAGTGAGTTCTGGGTATTTCACACTGGTAACTACCATTAAAATGCTACTTACCAATCTTCCTTACAAAACTTCAGTTTTTCTACATGGCAAAGACCAGTTTCCTGGTCTCCTCAAGTCATCCTCTTGAGGGGCTGTTGCTTACGATCACAAATCATGTGTTTCAAAGGATTAACAAAACTAGCACAAGACTTTTTTTCCCTCTTTGTTCTACCAGATGCCCAGAAGATGGAGAACCACGGGCAGAACTAAAAGGAGGGCAGAGAATCACAAACTGTTACTTGTCAGTTATTCCTTATCTGTATTTGTGAAGTCCATCTCTTCCCCCGAAACAGTTCTACAATTTGTCACGTTTATTTTGACTCTTGACCTGCTTTCTTCAACCTAAGTACCATCCCTTGCAATTGCAGAGTCTGCAATTTTAAAAGCACTCTATCCCACCATTCACGTTATTAATAAACTGAACAGTACTGGACACAGACACCTACGCAATACTGCTTCCAATGTTGATAGGGAACCACAGGTTGTTCTAGTTGAGACTAGATGACAGGTTTGCATTCATTTTTCAGCTACGAAGTTGCATTTTACCAGAATTACAGCTCTTACTATGGATGTATTATACATAAAAACACCTCATTTGCTGACAGAAGCTTGATGGTTAAGTATTTTCTCTTCTTACCTGTACAATTTGATCTTTTAAATCCTCATTTTCGCCTTCCAGACTTTTCTTATCACCAAGGGCTGTGGCCAGTGCAGCTTCTTTAGAATTGAGGGCTGCTTCAAACTCTCGAAGTTTGACTTGGGCTCCATTAAGATCAGATTCCTTTTTTGCATAGCTGGAATAAATCAGAAAAAGTGGTAGGAAAGTCTAGAAATGCCCCCAAAGTAGACAGCTGACTAAGAAAACAAGGTGCAATCTGAATCTTCAACTTAAGAGGCACCCAACAAAACCATTTTGTCTTGGCTTAATTTACCCTAATTTAAATCAACTCCTCAGTTGGGCTTTCTCATCTGATATAACTATGGCTTAATATTTTGCTCGGGATGTAGAAATCTAAATGTAGGGGAAAGGCAGTGTCAAACAAGTCAGAGATGTACACGGAAAGGCGAAACTGTGTGTTTAAAGGCACCTCTTGTTTTCTCTTTAGCTAGCCACTGGAAAAAGGTCCTATCTTCACCCGAATCTTAATAGGAAGAAATAAGTTCTCCCATCAGAAGGCTCTTTTCATAGGATGGAAACAAGTAAATTATCTTCATTGCCTTTTATCCATGCAGGAACTTGTGCAGATCCACTGTCTGGGCTGCAAATACCCCATTTCCAATTAACAGACCAACTTCTCAATGAAAATTGATGTTCACTATCTATAAGCCAGTCCTCCATAAGCAGAAGCTGTAGCATAGTGAACTGCTTTGCAGCACCCTTCTAATCATACATAATGGCAAAGTTCCATACATCTGAGGAAAGATACCCAAATTCTGTCTATACAATAGTCTGTGCCATCACTGGAACTGTACTGGCGCAGAGGTACAAGTGTCTTTTTCCTCATGAAAGCAAACACACAAGCTTTTGAAATTACCACTCAAATCAGTTCTCGTGTCTACGCAAGCAAACAGTTTCTAGGGGTTTATTGCTGTCCTGGTTTTGGCTGGGATAGAGTTAATTTTCTTCCTAGTAGTTGGTATAGTGCTGTGTTTTGGATTTAGTATGAGAACAATGTTGGTAACATACTGATGTTTTACTTGTTGCTAAGTAGTGTTTACATAGCCAAGGACTTTTTAGCTTCCCGTGCTCTGCCAGGTGCACAAGAAGCTGGGAAGGAGCATAGTCAGGACAGCTGACCCAAACTGGCCAATGGGGTATTCTATACCATATAACATCATGCTCAGTATATAAAGCTGGGGGAAGAAGAAGGAAGGGGGGATGTTTGGAGTGATGGCGTTTGTCTTCCCAAGTAACCGTTACGCATGATGGAGCCCTGCTTTCCTGGAGATGGCTTGCCGATGGGAAGTAGTGAATGAATTCCTTGTTTTGCTTTGCTTGCGTGCGGCTTTTGCTCTACCTGTTAAACTGTCTTTATCTCAACCAGTGAGTTTCCTCACTTTTACCCTTCTGATTCTGTCCCCCATCCTACTGGGGGGGAGTGAGCGAGCGGCTGTGTGGGGCTTAGTTGCCGGCTGGGGTTAAACCACGACAGTCCTCTAAAATAGCATATGCAAACAAAGAAGTCAAATGAGAAAAGTAAAGTAATGCCGCATAAACACAAACCCACACTCTTCAGCCTAAATTAATTATTCACAAATAACGCTACAACAAGCTACTATCAAAAATAGGGGAAAGGAAAACCATACTTAGGAATCAAAATGACTGTTCACCTTTAGATGGCACAAGCAGCTTTGTTTAAATGTGTAACACATGTTCTTCCACCTTGAAGTTGATTCTTTTTCTCTCTGGGATACCGACATTTCTCTAGTAAGCACAGTAGCATATAGAAAGAAGTTCTAGGTGTTTGTAATCAAACTATGAATATTTTACAGGAATGGACAGATTCAGATTCAGTAAGACAACAGCTAGCACATTCTCCTTCAGTTTTCACACTTTCTTTGCAGAAGTGAAAAAAATCAGAATTCACAACACTGAACTGAGGAGACTGAAAATTGCATAAAGATTCATAAGAACAAGATTCAAAAGTGTTAAAGAATTAATACATTCACTACTTTTTTAATCACTGTGCTGCTCATAAGAAACAATAGCAATGCTTCTCAGCAAAATGAGACTAATGTAAAATCAACACACAATTTTAAGAGGAGAGACTCTTAAATTTAAAAGATGCTTTTCCAAGATTACACGCAAGCATATGCAATTAATGTCGTGCTCAAGAGAGGTGTGTGCACAAAGGCTTGCAAAAAATATCTGTAGAAATAAAATTAGTGTTTGGCTGTTTTAGCACTACAGCCACAAGATGGCAGGCTTTATGTAACAGACGCAGCACTAGCTAATCCGGCTCCTGTTGAGTAACACCACACTCACCGAAGCAGTAGACTGCAACAGCCTGCAACACATGCAAACTCTTCTATACTCAACTATTGTTTTCATTTCTGCTGCTCAACGCTATCCAGTCCCTCCATGGCATTTTACATACCACCTCCTATGCCCAACAGTTCAGAGCAGTTGGGTCCACAGCTCAGACAAAAGCACAGAATTTAGACTTTGGCCATGTGGACTCCTACTTCCAGTTCTCTGCATTATTCACTGGAGGCCTCTGTCCTGTCCCTCCCCTCCCACCCAGGCCTGCAGGAACTTCAGCACGCAAGGAAGCTGTATGGCAGAGGAGGAGAAAGAGGGAAGGAACAGTGTCTCTCTATGGCGTGTCTGTAATAAAAATCTATGCACATCAGGCCTTTGTTGTTTGATCACTGCTGGAGAAAGCTTGATTCAAAACATGGAGAAACTGTTTCATACAGGCTCTCTCATGAGACTTCATGCTGAAACCAAGCCTATCAAGTTGGTTCCTGAAACTAGAAAGTCACACATACACAGGGCCATAGCATGCCTCCCCCCACTCCGCCCCAAATTATCCTGGATTCCAAAACAGGAAGACTCTCCACATACCTTAAAGTTACTTTGTTTTTTTAATTTTTTCTGCAAATATCTCTACCAATTACAAACTGGTAGGCAGCTGAGAAGAGAGCTCTTGCAATTGGGGCAACAGAAAAAAAGATGTTTAGCATGGACTAGCAACAACAACATAATTAAAACCCAATACATTACCTATACCACTAAATTAGGAACTACCATTATTATCAGTCCAAAGTATCTTCCTTGCTTGTTTGCAACAAGATTGGCTGTGAAGGCATCCTATGATTTAGTGCAACTGAAGCTACAGAAGGGAGAAAAAAGAATTAGAATTAAGCACTATTAGTTGTTAGTGTTATGAGTTGTCTAACTATGAGACAGCTCATCTGAACACATTCGCAGAAAGAAAATAGAAACTGGAGCTCAACACTTTAAACTCTGAAAGCCAGACAAAATCTCAGCAACTCAGCAGTGTCATCCCAGCCCTAAAGGAGTATGGGAAAGAAATGAAACAAGATCAAAAAAGCCTCTGTTAATTATAAAAACAAACACCAAATTATACAACATATACTTCACCCTTACACCTAGTGATTTTTACCAGGAAGAACTTCAGCCTCTTGACAACAGCTAGCTTCTGCCTCCACAGGAAGCCAAAGCTACATCTCAAAACAACAAGTAAAACTCAAACACCTTCCTGTTATAGTGTTAGGAAATTAGCCAGAACTGTAGTCCTTTGTCCTGGTTTTGGCTGGGATAGAGTTAATTTTCTTCCTAGTAGCTGGTATAGTGCTGTTTTGGATTTAGTGTGAGAATAATGTTATAACACACTGATGTTTTACTTGTTGCTGAGTAGTGTTTACTCTAGTCAAGGACTTTGCAGCTTCCAATGCTCTGCCAGGTGCACAAGAGAACACAGCCAGGACAGCTGAGCCAAACTGGCCAAAGAGGTATTACACACCGTATGATGTCATGCTCTGTACATAAGCTGGGGGGAATTGGCCAGGGAGCGGTGACCGCTGCTCAGAAACTGGCTGGGCATTGGTCAGCGGGTGGTGAGCAACTGCACTGTGCATCACTCATTTTGTATATACTATCACCATTCTTATTATTACTATGATTTTCCCTTCCTTTTCTGTTCTATTAAACTGCCTTTATCTCAATCCACAAATTTTCCTTTTTCTTCTATTCTTTCCCCGACCCCACTGGGCAGGGGAGGAGGGGGTGGGGGTGTGTGCGAGCAGCTGTGTGGTGTTTGGCTGCCTGCCAGGTTAAACCATGACAGTCCTTTTTGGTGACCAACCCACTTAAGGTCCCCCACCCCATGGTGGGGTCCCCCCCGCGCCCCACTTGGGGAAGGGAAGGTGAAGAAAGGCATCTCCCCTGTAGATTGGCTCTCTGAAGGGAAGAGGTAAAAAGTATAATTACTAATACCTTCTCAGAGATAGCAAGTAGTTTGGCCCACGAAAGAAAAACAAAAGTAAAGAAATAATTGCTGACTTGCACCTTCTTCAAAGCAGCAGCTTGTTTTTCTCTCTTTTGACTTCAAAGTGTGTGGATCTTCTTATCCATGGAGTTGTAATTTATTTTAAAATAGTGTAGAACTAGGATCTGCCCAAAAAAGAGCCAGTTCCCATTCATTTTCGCTGTACTTCAGAGAAAACTTGCACTTCAGAAATTTAACCCACAACATTTAACTCATATAGATAGACACTACGGAGTATAAAGAAGTCAGTCTCACTCCAACCTAGCATTACCAGCACAGGTCTCACTAACGGAGTTGCAGCCACATATACTTTAGAAACGGCTCAGCACACACCACAACAAAAATAGTGCAATCTGTTTTCCCCAATACACTCCAACCACTCAAGCAACCTGCCAGCAGTAAGCATTCCAGAGTGCCACTTTCAGGAGTACAAATAACCCTGATAGCTGCAGTACATCTGCCCAGCTCACCATTAAACAAGCTAATTTCTCCTACCAGAGGCAGCCAAGCTGAGGCACAGATTTCTAAGCAGGTTAATTTGCTCAGCATTCCCAAAACTTAATAACCTGTAAAGCAGAGTAAATCAACCCAGACACAACTATAAGGTACTGTGGTTAAGCTGTGTCTCATTACCTGCACTAGCTCATTTAAAGCTAATTCAAAGCTCTCAAATACAGATACCAAGGGGCAATCACTGCTTTGGTGAGATTACCTGGACCACTTGATTTGCAGTTCAGTAAAGTGGCCAAGTCACTGAATAGCTCACAGAAAGAGGCAGG